ATTTTGCAGGTGCACACCCCTGCTGTGTTTTAAAAAAGATTGTCTGTCTATCTATCTATCTATCTATCTATCTATCTATCTATCATCTATGTGTGTGTGTGTGTGTGTGTGTGTGTGTGTGTGTGAGTGTGTGTAAAACTCAGAGGACAACTTGACGGAGTCAGTTTTCTTTTTCCACCATGTAGGTTCCGGGATCGAACTTGGGCCATCAGTGTTGGCAGCAATCACCTTTCCCTGCTGAGCCATCTCACTAGCCCTCTCCTTCCTTTGACTCAGACTCTTGTTATGTAAGGCAGGTGGGTGTTGAATGCCAGGTCTTCTAGCTGCAGTTTTCTGAGTGCTGAGTTAGAGGCACATTCCACCAAGCCTGGTCCTTCTGACATTTCTTCGAGCAAATCACAAATTTGGAGTGCAATTTAAGAAAAATCTTTAAATTTTTAGACTAGGGAATCCAAAAATTACATAATCTGAGAAAGATCAGTTGCTTTTTCAAAATGGGTCTCTGTTATTAGTAATTCCACATTTCTTTTGAAAAGGCCAGAGAGGGCTTCCTGCTATGATGTCCACGATAAAGCCTGTCTAGGGGAACAAAAAGATTAGCAGGTTCAGCTATTTACCTTGTCAGTGCCCATTGTATAAGAGAAAAAAAATCACATATGCTGACAAGTTTGACTTTGTCAAAGAAAAAGTCAGCATGAGGGGAAAGGCTGGACATGTTTGCAGAAAGCTGTCACCACTGAATGGGGCCACAGAAAGCACACTGTGACACCTGAGGTTCCTTCCCAAAAGGTATTTGGAATATTTCACTAAAACACATTGAAGAGTAACCTATATGATTGACTGTATACATCTGTTACCAGCAAAGAGCTTCCAGGGTTGTTGCCCTAGATAAACTGAGAAGCAGAGGAAGAGGGTGATTACTACAACCCATTTCTTTAAAATATTTTTGTGTGGATTCTTGGGTTAAACTGGGAACTGAAGACTAAGAGATTAATCAGAACAGAAAGAGTTGAAGAGCTGTGCTGGGCTCTCATCTCACCTGGAGCTGAGCTGATTAATCAATACTGAGACTTTCAGTTTCAAGAGGAAAATAGTTATTAAATTAGAGAAATGTTAAAAGAATATGCAAACCCTCTCAGAAGCTACTTCCATCCCAAGTGCTTAAATAAAAGCTTTCTTGATGACATCAAGAACACAGACCATCAGCAACCTCTCAACTTCAGGTTCCAAACTACCGATTATCTCTCTGTCTCTGCCAATGAGATATGTTCTATGTCCTAATTCATATTCTGCCTATAACATCAGCTACCACTGGACAAAGGAAAGGGCATAGTTCTAAGGAATTGGATCCTGTGGAATTCACATTTTCTTGTTATCTACAAGAAACTGTAGGTAGAGTTTGGCTGGAGTGGGCATTGAGACCCAGGTGCTCAGTCGAGAAACTGCTAACATTTGTTTCCTGCCTCAGACTCAAAGGAAAAATGAGTATAAACATTCAGTGAAGAAGCACAAATGATAAATTTAATGTATCCACAGCTCAGTTAGTGAAAGTGGTATGGATTAGAGTCGCTAATTGAAATTTGGTTCTTTAAATGAACTGAGTTTCCATAAGGCAACTTTCATGACACAGGTTAGAGTCATATCCAAGTTAGCAGGAAAGCATTGGCAAATGAATGGAGGTAGAGGTATATTTTAAAAGAACTGTCCATCATTTTCCATTGAGACTGTTTGGTATATAGTTATTTCTTCTCATGAAATGCATGCAAGGCAACTAGCTGGCATTCCAGTTCAGCTGAGATTGGTTAGTTTCAAACAGCTGGGTGCATATATACAGAGTTTGTTTTCATACTTTGCTATGCTCAGCATCAAAACCTTTTAAAATGGAAAGCAACCAGTAACATTATGTCCAGCATGGAAACTGGACCACTGTGCAACAAATGTTTCTATATTAGATGACAACGATATGAAATACTGATCATGGAGAGACGTGAAGAACATACCTAAGACAGAGATATTACCTTTTGTCCTGGACGGCCAGATTCCCCAGGTTCTCCCTGGTCAAAGAAAACCAAAGATGAAAAGAGAAGTCTTACAGGAAATTCTGAAAATCACTACGCTTTTGGGCAGTGTTACAGTAATGACCCACCTGTCTACTTGATTACACTATTTTGTGCACGTCATTTTCTTACTCTCCACTACATTATACATATGGAAACTGCTATATGTCTAGAACTCACATATAAATACATTGTTGTTTTGTAAACAAGGAAACATGGAAGAGAAAATAGGCTCTCCTACTAAGTCTGCCAGGGATTTCCCTGTTGTGCTTGGAAGATGTTGCCAGAGAACTGGACCAGAGCTGTAACCATCAATATTGATAAAGCAAAAAGACATGAGTGACTCAAAGTCAAAATCACTATTCCCCTGGCACAAACATGTTCAAGGTTATAGTTACCTTAATTCCTGCAGCAGATGATCCAGGGTCACCCTACAATGAAACCCAGGAGATTATGCCACAAGTACTGGGAAAACAATGCAAACACCTAGGTGGCCATTACCCAAATGGTTACTCAGAGGTTTTCTCTGTGTGACCAACAGGACTAACTGTGCCCCACAGGGCTTTGTAATCAATAGGTCCAGACATTATGTGATAACAGCATGTAAGAGAAACTATGCCCTGCCTAAAATCATGGGTTTACTTTGAATATAAAACATGGAAAGACTCTATTTCTTGAAATAATTAAAAATATACAAATATCAAGTTATTTCCTTAATAGGATGCTAAAGTATATATTCTGAAGCAACGAATTATAAGTTAGGCATTTGAAACTTTTGGTTTTCTTAGCTTCTGGGATTTATTAATGTCACTGGCTGTTTACAGGGAGTTCCTGCCCTTCTGGGTCTTTGGAAGGTCAAGGTTCAACAGATGAAGTCAAAAGGTTAATGATGGTTGAGTTGCAAAAGCCATGCTGCAGATCAGTTTGTCGCCATCATGAGGCATGAGCATGCCTTTTCCTGCTTTACCCTCATTGCACTGTAACTCAAGTCACTGTCAAGTCACAGCATGATGAATGACTTATGGGACTACATGGAGGAGATAAGAAAGTCTTGAGATAGAATCTGACTTTTAACTGTATAAAGAGATTAAGAGATTGTCTGTTCTAGAGGCATTTTTTGGTGACCATGGTGCAGGAGTACAGATTTAGGGTACCCCAAATTTCACAAAGCAGTTTCATGAAGCTTTATGATTTTTACAGAACAAAGGTAAGTTTAAAATACATTGGTGGGTACATCAGAGAGGTGGCTACAGTTAGATGGGGGAGCTTTTCTAAAGGCCTTAGGTGTTATCTGATGACATTCTTAGCTTTGGGGTTGGTGGAAGGCTGTGTTCGGCTAAGTTAATAGGTTCCAAAAGGTTTTTATCTGTAGGTCACAGATATTAATTCTGACATAGAGGTGAGTAAGAGATGAGGGGGGCGGGGGATCTGGCTTTTTAGAAGACTGTGTTTGTCCTGATTTCACGAAGGATGACTCTGCTCCTAGAAACAGAACCATCCTAAGCATAGGACCAATACAGACAGGAGCATGGAGAAGAGGCGAGACTGTTACTTGTTTGAAGGACAAAGAAAAGGAGGGGACGGAGCCATTTGTGACTATCAGGAAAATTGAAGGAGGGAGGCCAGAGTTGAGATTCCCTAAGCTCTGTCATCTGTACAAATACTCAAACATCTCCAGGGCTCTGTTCACTTGTTTTAGAGTCCAGAAGCTGCTCGTCAATCTCTTTTAGAGACAGACACACGGACAGACAGAGGCCTCAGGCCCCTGTGCACTGACCGGACAAGGCCCCTTTCCTCGGTTCTACAAACATCTTCCCACGATGGCACTTCTCCAGCTTTAGGCCTTGGTTTACATGGCTTTGTCTCAAGGAACATTCACCAGTTCACCTTTACACATGGCCCACTGTGAGCACATCCTGCTACTGTGTAGCTGTGTGCTTTATTTGTGTCAGGCACAGCTTGTGTTGTGATTGCTGTTGGTGTTGCCTGCATATCTGTCTGTCTTGTCAGCAGACAGACAGACACATGGGAACAGATTCTGCATCCCAACCACAGTCTATGCTTAACACAAACACATGGTGAATGAGTGAACGATTGTCTAAAAAACAGTGTTTTTAGTCTGGTCAGCAGTCAAGGATCAAAATGAAAAGAGGCCTTTAGGAAGGGGCTTAGGAAAGAGAAGGAAATAGTAAATTTAGTTTGTTGAGGGAAGAAGCACACATGTGAATTTCTTTGACATCTGTAATTGCCATTACCCAAGGAAAAATTAAGATGTGGCTAAACAAAGAAGTGAACTCTAAATATTGTATGAATGAATTTTCTCTTCTCAACCATCAACATTCAAATGAGTTCCAAATGAGGGGAGAAATAAATGTGGTGAAGAAAATAATACTTGTTTCTATTTCTACTAAGCTAAGTCTGGGAGCCATCAACATTAATGAACCAGTTTGCAGTATTTTGGATAACATGACCTTTGTATTCATAAAAAATATTTGACTTCGCGAAGCTCCTTTTGTCTTGTTTATACCTTAAACTCTCATGCAGGGAAGGCATTGCTACTTCCATTTAATGGATAAGGAAATTGAAGAAGTAGTTATAAGTGAGGTGGATTATGAGATTCCTCATATTCTTATTATTAGAATAAGAAAAGGATTATTGGCTTATATCATTTAACAATTGGCTCAAAAGGCTAGAGAAAAATGTATAAATTAAAGGTAGTTAATACAAGAAAGAGTGTTGGGCTAACCTACTATATGAAAATGCAGACTAGATTTTGTCCTCAGAGAAAGTAGATGGGAAGGAAGGTCTGACATGTGAAGGGCTGGTTTACTTGTGGAAATATGAGAGGTTTCATTTGATAGTCAACTCATAATTGTATCTTCTCTTTTAAAAGATTCACAACTGTGAAATCTCCAGGAATTTCTATAACTTTTAAGAACAAGACAACTGTTAGAAGGGATAATGTTCCAAGCAGTTGAAATAAAGCAGGGGATGTTTCTAACCCTATCCCCAAAGTGCTAGTGAACACAGGATTACAGTAGGAAACAGCCTTCCAGCTAGGGCTTATGTATATGCCCAGCTTCAGTAGTCAGTCGGGTAAACCACAGATGGAGAAGTTCTGTGAGATAAATGCACTTGACTTTGCTGTTTTGTTGTTTTGGCTTTTTTTTTTTTTTTCAAAAAAAGATCCCCCCCCCTCCGTGGCCCAGC